GGGGGTAAAGCTTCTCAGACCAGTTAAATCATTCAAATGAATATTAATTACACCAATCAAAGACAGTAATTCAGACTGTGTAAGGTATCCAAACTTTTATCTCTTCTCAAACCCACAATCAATATAGTTAATAATAGATTGTAACCAATGCACCAGACTAAAATAGAAACATTCCCACTGCATTGTTTCCACATATAATTGTAATAAAGACTAGAACAAATAAGTTTCTCAATGACCTAGTTGAAAAAGTGATTTATAAGGCATTCATTAGAAAAATTTAAACAGTTCATCTAGATGTACGCACTGGGCATAGTTGTAAGTAGAATTTTAAAAAACACGAGGAGGTAGAGGTGTTAACACAGGGAAGGCATTTGCAGCATGTAAAATGGGAGCACATAACCAATATTTATCCACGGGCAAATACAAATATATATGTACAACATCCCAAAGTGTTAGCTTCTCCCTTTCTTAGTTACATTGACTTACTACAGTAGCAAGTGCGAACCTTCAACACAATATTCAACCTCAACTCCAAAATTTAGCATGTATCTAAATCCATGCACTTCACTACCATGAACATTATTAAAGCAAGAATAGAAAATATTTGAAGGAAAAGTCAGTCTGCAACAAATGTTACAAAATCTCTCATTTGTAGTAATGAAAATAATCTTAAACCTAAATTTATTAGTTAGTTTGTGGTGTAAGTTTGCAAGCAATCCTCATGTGCATAAAAAGCTTGAAATGGAAATCTAGAAATTCTTGGCAGAAACTCGCAGCATGAAAGAACATAAATAAATACACAAGAAAACAAGAAAGAAGAAGGAAGTAGCTCATGAATTATAAATTCCTATTGAATTTAGACACATTCATTGCAACATCATGGTCTTCGAGTGAAATGATTCAGATTTCAAATTTATGTAGTGGAAGGCAAGGCACAAGGATGTGACAAATATGGAAGTTCTGAACCTTTCAAATATTAACTACATTCCTGCCTTAAGAAGGACATGAAATGCATCAGTTTAAAATCATACATTCTTGCTACTCTATTCATGTTACGATGTGTGAAAATACAACTACTTGACTCAAACTGATCTATCACTGAAATTATCAAGAAAGTTAATTAAGTCCAAAAATACATTCATTTTAATTTTTTGTGAATGTTCTTCATATACACAATTCACTGCTCCTGTGCATACTATTGACACTACTTAACCTACTCAGGCAATTATGAACAAGAAATGAAGGACATGTTATAATACAAATATAATTTAATATAAACTTCCAATGTGCTCTTTTTTCAACGGTACTTTCACATTATTAACATAACAATAAACATATCAATAGTCTTTTAAAGTTTCT